AATAAATAGACAAATTTATTAAACTTACCAAGATTTACTGCATATTTAGGTATCGAGTATTGTGTGTATGTTCTTTCCATGTTAGAGGCATCATTCTTTTTTGTTGGTATTGCTCTATTTCATCCACCATTTTGTTAACTGAATTAAAGTTTTTTTTAATGCTCTTAATCCATTGAATATTATTGAATGTTTTCTGTTCTTTAAGAATATTAAGCGCTTTAGTTGTTGTAGATATTAATTCATCATACACTCTATCATAATCCTCCTCCTCTTCTGACTCATTTAAATATTGTGTTGTACTATTAATATGATCGAATAAATCCATCGTGTTTACAATATTAATATCGATAGAATTTTGATTTGTTTCTATTAAAAATGGTGCATTGTGATTTCTTTTTAAATGATTAAAAAATTCACATGTTACGGGACCTTTTTGCTGAATAAGATGTTTACAAATATGGAATCGATTTGTCAAATAATAACTACATCCGCAGATCCATCTATTTATATCTGTTACATATAGATCATTAATAGGATGTAATGATAGTCTTTTCCATTCTGATTTTAGTTGTTTAATCCATTCTGGTTTTTTACATCCAGAATGAATTTGCTGCAATTTACGCATTTGATGAGTAGCTACTTTTGTAATTAAAATGTACAATACAAGATCTAGACGTGGTCTAAAGAATTTGTATAGAAAATCCCGCTTAATGACCTTCTAATGGCCTTCAATAAACATCGTTGTTGTAAGAATTGAGGTTTGTTCTGTACAAGATGACCGTGCCCATAAAATCCATCTTTTTTCAATGTACCACTTGCTCTACAAGTAACTCCATAGTAAAATTAGTGAATGTTCTTTGCAGAACTCATACATTTCTTGAACAGCTGCATTCCGTATTTCTGTACTTGTTAAAAATTGTCCGTTGATTGTTGGTATTAGGGGGTGCTGATAAAAATGACGTTCCATAATTTTATATACAGTTTCTCTGTATTTTTTTGGGCAAAATTCTTGCGATGATGTAGTAGTATTAAATGGAAATCGGCGGCCAAATTCAGATAAAGGATTATACGAAT